AATCCAGGACTCTTAGAATCTGGTGTTAGATCGTGTTTGACGTCAAATGGCAGAAACTTTTCCGCTTTAGGAGTTCTAGGAGTACTGGTCTTAGGACATTCATCTGAATTTATGGAATTGAAGTCTATAGTTCAGAACGACAAAAATTACAACTTGAAACAAGGCAACATACTTTACTTTACTTTACTTTCCTTTATTTTGTTTTATTCGCCCAAATAAGGCCTGTTTTATACGTCGAATTTCGGTCGCGTCGAATGCAATTCAAACAATAGATAATGAAGCTTAATGAGGTTTATCATCATCTCACTATCTATTGTTTGAATTGAATTCGACGCGACCGAAATTCGACGTATAAAACAGGCCTTACATTAATATATATACAAATAAATCATAAAATAGAAACTATTTACATAGGGCTAGGAACCTTCTAGAAACCATAAGGCTTTTATTTAAGGTCCGTAGTTACAACTTTAGATTAGATTACAATATAGTTACGTTTTAATAATAAAGGATACAAGTTCAAACGTTTTCAGAGAAAGTAAAGTGATATACTGTATATATATATATATATATATATATGAAACGAGGAAACTGTTAGATAAAATAAACTAATAAATAAACTATATATCATGGCGCTAATCAGCCGAGCGTATAATGAATTCCAGTTTCTTAATTTCTTTAGTATACGCAAATTTATGCTACGGCTCAAAGGGTCAACAGATTCAAGACATTCAAGTGGTAGAATAGTGTATTATATTATCTTTCAGACTCACCATCTAAGTTCATCAGAGTCCGCCATTTTTAAGTACTCCAGACTTGACCAATAGACACTTCCCGAATTTGCTTGAGTGCACACGAAACAATAGCTTGGAATCGAGGCGGACAATGTAATCCATTGGAAATAAGTATAGTTTTCCAATGGATTACATTGTCCGCCTCGATTCCAAGCTATTGTTTCGTGTGCACTCAAGCAAATTCGGGAAGTGTCTATTGAAGGCCGATATACTTGATAAAAATATGCACTTTGTAGAGACTACATCATAAAATGATCGATTTATCTATACCAATGTCAAAAAATCCAAACTTGAAGCATAAAATATTAGTTTGCAAGAAAAACACTTTTTTGCAAGAAAAATCACAGTAATCTGCCAGTCGCTAATTTATCTTCCTTCGCCCTTCCCGTGAGCCTCTACGCGCCGACTTCTGGTGACCCCACAAGCTCACGACCCCACAAGCTTATGCTTTAAACATTATCGTGCTTAAATGAAGTCATATTATTATTGTTATTATTCTGGCCTCAGCCCGCTCGCACGCTCTTGTCTTCAGCCGCCTGACAAATATAAGATCTACAAGTATTTATATTTAAAAGCGACTAGGGAGGAGTCTGGAGTGTTTATGTCGACAATTTTGCTGCCCTGAGGTAGATTTTCCTTTCTTTATTGTTTTGCCTAATTTTAAATAATTGAATTAACAACTTCGTTCAAAATTTAGGGTCAACACAACAGATGCGAACATACGGACTAACGCGGCCTACCGTGTTTGAACGAGTTGCTATCGCGATGTTTTTCGCTGGTTCAGAAGTTTCATTTCCTTTTTCCTAGCTTGAAACTGAAGTTGCGTTTTCCAAGTTTGAATCCCTTCCATTCGTTTTTCTACACTTCTTCGTTGTCTTGCTTCTATATTTCCAAAATATCCGGACAAAAGACGATTATTAAATCTCGCTGCCATTTTATTTACATTTGCTTTGGCATTTAAATTAAAAATCCCGCGCGCGATATTTTTCTCGCGACTCGCTAAATTGTCCTGCGTAAGTCCCGCGCCGCGAAATTTGCTCTTTTGTTACCAGATCCCTATGAAATCAAGTGCAGTGAGCCACCTTAAACTGACATGCAAACTTTAATCTATTTGTGCAGCAGTACCTCGTGCAGGACCAACGATCACAAGCATTACTAATGTGAACACGACATCGCTCCATATAACGTGGAGAAAGCTGAGTACAAATGAGTCTAATGGACCAATATTCGGATATCGTGTCTGCTACCGGGTCCTCAAACAAGGTGCAGGTAGTATATGCACTAAAACGAAAGATATTTCTGGTGTGAATAATACACAAGTGATTTTGACAGGCTTGATGAATGGAACAACATACGATCTCGCTATTCTGCCTGAGAGTGCCGGCGGAGGATATGGACCGGTCGGAAACATAGTCAGCCATAAAACATTACTAATAGATGAAGGTGGTATGTATTGTGTGTTATATTGTCAAGGATCAATGTGTTGTATGTGGATCTTGTTCAAAAGTACACACAAGTGACCACGAATGACCACCAGTTTTTTATCACATGATCACGAGAATTTTTTAAAATTGAAGAATTGAGAATTATCTTTTAGGCAAAGTTTTAAAAAAAATTACAGAAGGGAATTTTTAAAATGACCGGAAAAAGACAAATTTTCAGCTTAATAGGCAATTCCAGCTTTTAGTTTATGTGTGCAGGGGACGATGGGAAGTAAGGTATCACATTGCTGATTATGCTGGAAAAAATAGAAATGGTGGCCGTGTAAACACGTAGTGATAGCTTATACTTGTAAATATTGAAAAATTTCGGTTGTTTCGGTAGTTTTTATTGAAAATTTTCAGCATAATCAGCAATATGATACCTTACTTCCCATCATCCCCTGCAGGCATAAACTAAAAGCTGGAATTGCCTATTATCCTAAGCACTCCGTCGCCATGGTAACATTTAAACACATAAATCACTCGTGGTCATTCGTGGTCACTCGTGGTCACTCGTGGTCACTCGTGGTCATTCGTGGTCACTTGTAGTCACTCCTGTGTACTTTAATGCTTTAATGCTTTAATGAAATACTCCTAAAACAGTATTATACTACACTAGGAGGAGTTATATATACTGAAAAACTAGATAATTTTTATATTTATATATAAGAAAGTCATCATAATCACTGTATGACACATATATTAGGCGGTGATTAGAATGATGTTGTTATATGCTATTAACAATAACAATGACAAAAACGACAACGACAATAACAACAACGACAACAACAACACTAAGACTACAAAACGAACATATAGTACAGTACAAACGATTCAAAACGATGCTAATTAGCTACATTAAGTGACTTAATTGAAGGCATGGCAAGTGTTTTGAAACTTGGGGTTGATTGGCAAAGATTGTTAAATGGGATGTGATTCCAGGTAACGATTGTTCTTGGATAAAATGAAAACTTATATACATTGACACACGACTGAATTTTGCGGTAAGGACAGATATTAGGCAGCCTGGGTGCTCTAGTCAAAGGACACACGTCATCAGGAAGACTGATTCCAACAAGGCCTTGATGGATCTTGTAGAACATAGTGGCTTGGTGTAGCAGTCGCCCAACCCAGGTGGTCGATCATCAGTGGCGGCGCCAGGCCTCAGAATTTGGGGGGCATTTGAGGGGCAAACTCGTATTTTGGGGGGGGCAAGATAGAATTTTTAAAAAGGTACTGCTATTTGCCCATGCCGTTGTCAAAGGACTTTTGTTCCCCTCCCCAGGAGATTCGCCCCCTTCTCAAAAGGGGGCGATATTCCTAGGAATAACGCCCCCGGGGGACGAATATCTTAGGAATATTGCCCCTCCCCAAAGGGGCGAATACCCCAGAAATGTTGCCCCCCTTTAGGATATTCGCCCCCCATATATGCGATGTGGTTTATTCAAATAATTTCGTGATACTTTCATCTTATTAGTGCCTTAAGGCCCATACAGAACGGACGCTATTTGGCAACGCGACGCGAATTTTCAGTTTTCAATGACGTTTAGCTTTAATATTTTTCATTGGTTTTCAAATATTCGGGACCACTTAGCAATTTTAGCTATTTGGTCTGCATACCTTGTAAAATTTTTATTCTTTGACGGTTTTATTTGTTTTTGAAAACTGAAAATTCGCGTCGCGTTGCCGAATCGCGTCCGGTTTGTGTGGGCCTTTACACATTTGCGAATTTAACTTTGCAAAACTAAAGCTTTTTTTGACTTTTTTGAAACGTATTATTGGAGTATTGGAAAGGTGTACCGTTCAGAGATTTACAAACTAATATTGAAACTGTAAAAGACAGTTTCGTGTATACGCGCATTCACTGATGAGTAATGACAACTAATAAGCCATACACTTTCCGATAACGACAAAACGCTTGTGTAGCCTTTAGTCGCTCTCAGTGACTAATAATTTTTTTTGAGGGGGCAAAATGGGGCTCGGGCGGTCGTTTGCCCCCCTCTCCCCTGGCGCCGCCACTGTCGATCATTGGAGAGACGTGACTAGCTCTGGAATAGTCATTGAAGACAAATCTAGCAGCTCTGCGTTGAACCATCTCGATCTTGTTGATGTTCCTCTTGGTGTAAGGGTTCCAGACTGTAGAAGCATACTCAAGTTGTGGACGGACAAGACTAGTATACGCTCTTGACTTAACAGCAGCGCTACATTCACCGAGGATTCTTCTAAGTAAGCCAAGAGTGCTATTTGCCTTACTTCATATGATGTCACAATGATTTTTCCAGTTCAAGTTGTGGTTTATAGTAATGCCCAGGTATTTGGTAGAAGATACTCTGCTAATTGTTTGATTATTCCTCATATAACTATATGTTTCAGGGACACGTTTATTTGTAATTCTCAGGTGGTAGCATTTGGAGAAATTGAAATTTATTTGCCACTTGTTAGCCCAATTATTTAGATCGTCTAAATCCTCTTGTAACGTGACGTGGTCCTGGTCGTTATTCTATAAATGATTCCATCGTCAGCAAACAAGCGAATTTGGGAATTAATATTCTCAGAAATATCGTTTATATAGAGAAGAAATAAGACAGGTGCGAGAATTGTTCCTTGGGGTACTCCAGATATGACAGGTTGAGGGTGAGATTGGGAGCCATTAACCGATACAACTTGATAGCGGTTGGAAAGAAAAGCCTTGATCCAATTGGCGGAAGGTCCTCTAATACCATAATTAATGGTCTAATTTGGACATCAGACGAAGATGAGGAACAGAATCAAAGGCTTTACTGAAGTCTAAGAGAATCACATCGGTTTGTTTCTTCTGGTTGATACTTTTTGCCCAATCGTTGATTGCCGTAATTAGTTGAGTCTCACACGAAAATAGTTTGCGAAATCCGTGTTGTTCATTAATTAGAATATCATGATATGCTAAGTGCTTTGAAACATGGCTAAGAATGATATGTTCCATGACTTTGCAACACAGACACGTCAGAGAGATTGGACGGTAGTTGGCTGGGTTGGATTTTAAGTCCTTTTTAAAAACAGCAGAAACAAGGGCCTTTGACCAGTCAGGTGGAAGTGTACCAGAATCATAGGATTGTTGGAAAATGAAACAAAGCCAGTGCGAAATTGATGGAGAAAGTTCTTTAAGGATTCTAGCTGGGATTTCATCAGGACCACAGACCTTACTGGGGTTAAGTTCAGAGAGTTGCTTGGCTACACCTTGGGAGTTGATGATCAAATCTGAGATGGAGGTGTATGGAGATTGACCTTTATTTGGAATTGGAGCATTCTCACGGGTGAATACTGAATGGAACTGGGAGTTAAGGGCGTCAGCTTTTGATTTATCAGAAACACATAACTTGTCGTTGAATTTTAAAGGAGGTATGCCAGAGCTTTCAGATTTACTTGTACGTACATACGACCAGAATTTCTTTGGATTGGTATCTAAGCTTGCGCCAATAACGTCATTCAGATAACTACTGTGAGATTGTTTGACGAGACGAGAGACTAAGTTCCGTTCTTTCTTGAACTCATCCCAGTGTTTAGGTTTGTGAGATTTGAGAGCCTTTTTATGTAGGCGATCTTTCAGCCGCATGTGCCGTTTGATAACAGAGGTTATCCATGGAAGTTTATACTTAGGCGTAGATTTCTTGTGAGGAACATAATCTTGAATACCTTTTATCAAGGTTAATTTAAATTTTAACCAGTTTTCAGATACAGAGTTATGTTGAGGACTAGATAGGAAAAAGTTTTCCGATGCATGTGACATAAATTCATTAAGCTTTGTGAAATCAGCTTTCTTATAGATGAAAACTTTGTGTGGAGGTTTGAACGATCTAGTAGCCGCGACATCGATGTTAAAAAGGACGGCCAAATGGTCGCTCATTCCTGACGTGGTCGAAACATTAGATACATTATTAGGGAATGAAGACAGTAACAAGTCCAAGGTTTTGTTAGAAGCTGGACGAGTAGGTAACGTGACGTGTTGTGTAAGGGAGAAGTCGTCAAGTGTCTGGAGAAGTTTCTTATGATGTAAGGAATTGATTTCACTTAAGAGTTCTGGAGACTCAGATTTCCAGTTGATGTCTCCAAGGTTAAAATCACCACCTAGAATGATATTTGGATGATGATTAGTCGAATCAAATACACAGTTTATAGATTTCTGGAGCTCATCAAGGACTATGTGGTTGCGAACAAACGTTTCGTGAAAATATCTCCCCCCTCCCCTGTCATGTGTCCACGAGAAGTTTTCGCGAAGATTGCGCGTGACTTTCAAATGCTTTGCATTTTATTTTGAACGTAATTGGTTACCTGGAGGGTATTGGCATCAAAACCCAACAAATGTTTTCATTTTTTCGATTGGGACTATTCTACAATGAAGTACTCTTGGATATTGTAGTCTAAACACATAGGAAGACGAAGAAGTGGAATTTATCGGGCAGAGAAGCGGCGAGCCATTAACAGGGCGGCAATTTGACGAAATATCGAAGGACACAATATCGAAGATAAAATATACTGCACTGTTTCAAAACTTCATTAAACTTCGTCGAAATCGTCTTTAGCCATCTATCATTATGTAAAAGTACAACAACTGGATGATATCTGCGAGACTCGGCGATAAAAAGCAAACAAGACGGCAAAGTATGGCTGAAATGGTGTTTTCGTGGGGGGTGAGTGAATAAATGTATTAATTAAAGTAAAATGTATTATATTCAAAGAAAACAATGACAATCCTTTTGAAAACGACAATAATTATATTAAATTAAGCATAGTTTTTCATCACATGATAATTTTTTTTAGGAAATAAGAACATTAAATTTCTGCCAGGCATATTAGTTATTTTGTGCATAATCAGCAATTTACCTGGGGTGGTGCATGGTCATTTTCTTGTAAAATATTATACTCAGACAAATTTTTCCTTCCAATGACCACCCCTAAAAGCAACCCTTGTAAACACTATAAGCACTTCAGAAAGGCTGTCGCTTTTGCTTTTAGGAAGTTAGAGCTATGTCGGCACTGCCGTTTCAGGGCGGGGTCATTTTCAGGACTTTCGCCCCGGATTCAGGTTTTGACACATATGCCATGTTGACCGCCATGGTCATATTACCCTAAAACAGTTGAGATTACCTGTGCTAAATGAAATGCATACAAACACCTATACAGGTCCTAGACTATTCAGTTTACTCAGCATTAGTCAGGCTAAATCCTCGAAAAGCCTCTGGTCCAGACGGCGTGCCGAATTGGCTCCTTAAAGATTATGCCGAGTTTATCGCTAACCCAGTCTGTGTTATCCTGAACAGTTCTTTTGCTGAACAATCCCTCCCTCTGTCATGGAAGTACGCCAATGTAACACCACTACCAAAGACGAAACCTGTGACTGTAATTACCAAGCACATCAGACCTATCTCGCTAACTCCGTCTCTATCAAAACTAGCTGAGGACTTTATCGTAAGATATTATATTGGCTCTGCCGTCGTTAAGATCATTGATCCCAACCAATATGGCGCTATCCCAAAATCATCTACTACGCATGCCCTTATTTCCATGATTCATTCATTCATATGTGCAGCGGTAAGGATGGTGTTGCTAGACTACAGGAAGGCATTTTATCTCATCGATCACCGGATCCTAGTTAAAAAGATCCTTTCCCTGAATGTTCCACGTAGTGTAGTTCGCTGGGTATGCGACTTTTTATCGAACAGGCTGCAACGCGTCAAACTGTCCAACGATTGCTTCTCCGAATGGGGTGCAGTTCCATCTGGAGTTCCACAGGGTGCGAAATTAGGACCATGGTTATTCCTTCTCATGATCAATAACCTTAAACCATCCGAAGGGCACTCGTGGAAGTACGTAGATGACACGACATTAACCGAGGTTGTCGCAAGAAATAGCCAAAGCCAAATGCAGAGTGCAATGTCTGATGTAGAGAAATGGAGTAAAAACAACAAGCTCCAGGAACGAAGACAAGTGTAAGGAAATGATAGTTGACTTTAAGAAAGTGAAACATCAGCTTAAGACCATCATCATTAAGTCCAAAGAACTCGAGCTAGTCAGCAGTGCCAAGATATTGGGTGTCATGGTGTCTAACTCACTGGAATGGATTGACCATGTCAACTATGTCGTGAAGAAAGCTAACAAACGTTTGTATTTCCTAATTTTGCTTAGGCGTGCAAGCATTCCTGCTGACCATATCTTAAAATTTTATTGTACTTGCATCAGACTAGTTCTCGAGTATTGTGCACCTGTATTCCACCACTTATTACCTGCATATTTATGTAACAATCTTGAACGCATTCAAAAGCGAGCGCTTTCAATTATATCTCCTGTGTCATCTTATACGAACAATCTTACCAAGCATAATATTAGTTCTCTCAAAGACAGGCGTCAGAAACTGTGTGAAAAACTTTTCAAGACAATAGTATCCAACCCAGACCACAAGCTTTATCAACAACTGCCACCCAAACACAATCCCACTTACAACCTGAGGAGAGAACGTGCGTTTGATTGTCCTATACTATATGAACCAATCGTTTTAGAAACTCTTATATTTCCGCAATGTCAAATAATTTAAAGAAATAGGTTTGCTATGAATTGTTTTCATAACATAAGTCTAACTTGAACCTTAAAGATCGTAATGTATATGTATGAAAATATGTGTACTGTTAGTATTTGTATGTGTGTATATGTATATGCATGTGTCTATAGACTTTATAACCTACAGTTAATTTATATGTTTTGTAAATTTTACGCAATTCAGCTTTTCTGGGCTGCGATGTAAAATCTTATTAAATAATCTAATCTAATCTAATCTAAAGGATCCATATTATGGCCCTTCTTTTTTATTATCTTTATTAACGATTTGCAAGATGTTGTCCGTTCCTCCGAGATTGTATTGTATGCGGATGATTCGAAACTTTTTAAGGTAATAGAATCGCAGGGCGATAGGCATGGTCTGCAAGCTCATTTACAGTACAACGTGTTTCTTTTTGGGCTGATGAATGGAAGATGGTTTTCAATGTGGATAAATGAAAGAATATGTCTATATCTCGTAAAAAGTTGACAGCTGATGTAACCTATACTATGAAAGGGACAGTCCTGGACAATGTCAGAACGGTTAAAGACCTTGGGATCACAACATTACTTCAAAGGCAAACAAAGTTCTCGGTCTGATTAAACGAGTATGTAAAGATTTCAAAGATCCCGATACAAGGAAGACTTTACACTATACTGTTATATACTATATTGTTCATTTGTCCTACCGCAGCTTGAGCATTGCTCGCAGTTTTGGTCACCAATCCAGGTCAATCAAAAACTGCTCCTCGAAAAAGTACAACGGCGTGCAACTATAAGTTTATACTAGAAAATACATGCATGCAGAAACCCTCGCCTTGCTGACAAAACCATTGTATTTTCCGAACATGAAGTATCTAAAGTAGTTGTCATGGCAACACTATAATTTTTTAAGAATATTCTTACAAATGAAAAAACGCCTAAAAAATATCACTTTTAATTACAAAATTATTAACAACATATATATGTTAAGTATGTTATTATACGTAATATAAGCCTCAATTTAAGGTAAAATTCAACCACAAACGCTTCGCAAAACGTTTTCAAAGTCACTGTAGTGTTATAAAACTAAACTGCCTTTTAAAATGGCTTTATCGATAAACTTTGAGTTTGCAAATAACTTTGCTTTCTTTCTTATTTAAAAAATTCAATATCACAAGAAAGGAATCAATATTAAAGATACACTGAAATTATATGCTGTTTTGTTTAGTTGTTTCATATACGCAAAGGCCGTCGGGTTTTAAATTCATTATAAAATCAATATTTAAAACAAACTTACCTTCGTTAACGTCGGCTCCCTTCTCTTAGCCGATTCTTTCGCAGTTTCTTTCTCAGAGAGCTTTTGAAATTTACAAAATCTTGCAAAAATGCGAGCGAGCAAAATGAAATATATTTGCAAGAAATTTATCAATCATCAAATCATAGATTATAGAAAATCAAGAAATGTTTGCTATTTCGCTGTCGTCATGCAGTCGTTATAATGCAAACTTTAAATTGGACCAATCAGTGTCCGCTATTCGTGATAGTCCACCATATTTTTGAGATCAGTGAGGATGACCACCCACCCAACACCGTCGGTGACCCACGCCCGCGATAACTGATGAACTTTAGACTCCGCTAATGCTTTCGTTTCCCCGGGTGTAAATAGCCGGGGGAATTAGTACCCTCGCACGGCCCCTCGCGGCGTCGGCTCGGGGACTAAATTATCCTAAAGACATGACATACAAAGAAAGGTTATCGAAACTTAAATTACTTCCTCTTGAGTACCGCCGGGATATCTGCAAACCGGATTCCGCAAACCTGCCTCGGGTTACGGGATCATTTAATCACTAATCTTCCTCAAGCCTTAATTGCTATTATTTATAATAGGCGTGTCATTTCATAACTAGGTTAATTAATGGGTACTCGTGCGATATGAGATTTTTAAAACATCGCTCGTGAAGCTTAATAGCCACTCGCGCTACGCGCTCGTGGCTGTTAAGCTTCACTCACAATGTTAAATCTCATATGGCACTCGTACCATTAATTAACCATTACTTCTTCTACCCTACTATACAGGGTGTCTAAAAAAACGCAATAGAAATTCAACAGGCTGTTGTGCATCATAAACGTGGCTAAACAATTCAATTTTTATATAGGACGAAAGATCAGTTATTTAACTTTTCAATGATACCTTTTTTAAATCGTAACGATGAGGCATATATAAATTGCCGGTCGAAATCACATTCTTCCAACGTTGGGAATTGCGGGTTTTTTGAGACACCCTGTATAAACAATGAATGTGTAAGTATGTTTATGGACAATGATTTAAATGATGACTAGAAAATACATGCATGCAGCAACCCCTCGCCTTTCTTAGGCCTGTTTTATACGTCGAATTTCGGTCGCGTCGAATGCAATTCAAAAAATAGATAATGAAGCTTAATGAGGTTTATCATCTCATTATCTATTGTCTTAATTGCATTCGACGCGACCAAAATTCGACGTACAAAACAGGCCTTAACAGATTACAGATTAAGTATAAAAGCACCACATAA